GTTTCTGACCTATTCCAGTTAAGAAGGCTTCTAAACTACACGCTGGCGAGAGGTCCAAATTCTAGCCTTCTTTGAACCAAGTTTTTTACTATAGCCCAGCACTTTTGTTGTAGATTTCAATTTAATTCCCAACTAATTTGCTTACTTGATAGTTATGTGGGACTGACTTGTCCATGATCGACTCTCCATTAATCTCGGCATGATGACAGCAATATTCACAGAACTTTATTTAGCAATCCGAGATTGTTATAAGTCCTTTACCAGACTGACGTTTCGGCAGTATTGCCTTCTTCGGAGCCTGCAAATCAAAACCTATTTTCGAAACAATTCGTCCCATTTCAGATTGCATAGTGAAACTCAAGATCAAGCAGTCTATTAAAATATCGTGAGCAGGGCTAACCTTTCGAGGAGTACGAACGACATCGTAGTATGAACGACATCTCCTCGAAAGGTTAGCCCTGTTCACGATATTTTCATAGACTGCTTGACCTTGAGCTTCACTATGCAATCTGAAATGGGACTAGGACGAATTGTTTCGAAAATAGGTTTGATTTGCAGGCTCTGAAGAAGGCAATACTGCCGAAACGTCAGTCTGGTAAAGGATTTGTAACAATCTGGGATTGCTAAATAAAGTTCTGTGAAGGACTGAGCTTGCCTTGCATGTGATTCTAGTCCTGCTGTACAATTTTCCGCAGTTCTCCAGGGCACGAAACTTGGAATTATTCTGTCTATTGGGTCGGCCCATAAGTAATGGCGTTTTTTTCTCACTCGAAATATCGCGCTGAAGATGAAAAGTTTTGCTATTGAGTTTTATACCGTTTTGCAGAGAATTCCTAGCCCTATACGATAGCCTTCCTTAGTTTTCTTGAAGTTTCTCTTTCCACTAATATTTAAGTGCTCAAACTGGAGTGTCAGGTCGACGAAATTGAGCATTTTCGACAGCCTCCCTTTTTACCTCTAATTAAGAAGCTCAAACCGCACAGGCCCAGTTACTAAGTATATGGCCAAGATGCTATGTCTCTCAGGAATGCTTACAGTAGTATAAGTGATTAGAACCTCATAGACAAGCATCGAACCTAATGCCCTATTGTGTCCAACTGAGAGCTTACGGAATTACCTTATTCAAGGAGATTCATGCCAAAGATTGAGGAATCGTTAGAGGTCATGGAATGCTTCCTTTTCATTATCAACTACCTTCCTCAGTTGATGTTAGACGTTCGAAAGTTGGTGGATGGGTTTTGCAGGCAGCCGCCCCCAAGAGGGCGCCCCATGCGCTGAACATTTACAAGGTCCGAATTCCCACCTCTTAATCGCTTGAACCAACTTCAAGCTGTCGTAAGACGCATCTCTCTTTGATCATACATATCACAAGTTTCGAGTTTCTTCTGTAGTTCGGAGCCGAGATAAAGTGCAAAAGTGTTGTCGAAGAACTCACTCTTGTGACGACTGGAACTCCACTTCAAAGAATTAAAAATCGACGGAAACCAAGAAGAGGTATGAAGGCAACCATATAGTCTTATAGAGCAGAATTATCTATCAAACAGTGTAGAACACATTGGGAACAATTGTCATTTTCTATATAAAAACTTGTGGGGAAAAAAACGCCATTACTCATGGGCCAACCTAATACTTACATAAGCTGCTGGTGAAAATGGGTTTCTGAATATTGGTTGACTAAACCGAGGAAAGTTAGAGCAGTTCAACTTCCGGCAGTTTTAGGAATTCCTGCATATCTGCCTCATCCAGTTGTCTAGAAAAGCTTTCGAAAAAATGGGAAACTAATATCGATGAGCTTTATGAGCTAACAAGGAAATACGATAAAGGATTTGACCACGTAAGTTTC